GGGGCCGCCGCTGGGACTGCAAGCACGCGCTCGCCGTCGCCTGCCGCCCCCGGATCCGAGATGGGGCCGATCTCCTCGACGCCCTCCGGCGCCGCGCGATGCGGCGTTGTCCGCTCGGCCCCCCGCGGGCCCTCCTCGCCGTCGGCGGGTGGGGCTCCATGGGGCGCGGCGAACTGCTCGCGGAGCAGCCTCGCCATGGGCGGGCGCGGCCAGTTGTCGCGACCCCGAGCCGTAGCGAACGGGGCGAGGTCGGCTGGAATAGCCGCGGCCAGCGGCGACGCGGACTCGAGCTCCAGCTCGTTGACGTCCAAGTCGATCGCCAGGACCGATGCCGCGGTGTCCAGCGCGCGCGAGGCTGCCCAGAGGAGGAGCACGTCCACCACCAAGTACGGAACCAACAGCCCAGGGAACCCGTCCGCCTCCGCGGCCGCCAGATCGGCAGCCGAGCGGAAGGCCGAGGGAAGAGCGAACAACGCACCTCCATCTCGCTGAGCAAGCGGTATGGCGGCGAGGCTGCAGTCCCCCTCGTCGGGCCGCCACCTGTCGTAGCTCGTCGCAGATGGTGCCGAGAACGGATGTAGCTCGGGCCACGCGGGGCCTCCTGGCAGCGCTGGCACTGCGGCCATCGTTACCAACGCTCACGGGTTCCCGCACCCACCCAGACAAGCGTCGGGTCCGCCGCAAAAAAGTGGCGGCGCGCTCGTCGCGGGGGAACCCGCGCGGGTGGCCCAAAGGCCGACCCGACGGGATTAACCCCGAGACGGCGGCGCGGGCAGAAGGGCCGACGCCGCCGTGCCGCGCGAGGTGGCTTGAGAGCCAGAACCGCAGGCCAACGCACGCACATTAGCCATTGCGGGTGCCGGGGTTGGCGGGCCCAGCGCACCGCGAATGCGAGCCAATGGACGGCTCGCACAGCAGACCGCCACGCCCGCGAGACAGCAGCCCCCGCGGAAGCTGCAGCAAACGGTCACTCCCAGAAGCGAAACGACCGTCGCAAGCAGCAGGGGAAAGACCCCGCCACTCAAGTCCACCGCCAGCCCGAGGCAGATGGTGGGGCAAGCGACGGAAGCCTCGAGAGCACGGTGCTCCGCCGCTGGTCCGAGGATGTCCGGGGCCCGCCGCCTGAGACGGCCAAGGGGTCCCGAACTCTGGGGCCTCCTGGTCCGTCAAGGGCAGTGGTCGGCCCGTGAGCCGCCCGAAGAGCGTGGCGCGCAGACCGTGCCCGCCGCCCGCATACACCAACAGCTCCTCGGCGCGCTGCGCCAGCGGGCCGCGAGCCGAGGGTGGGTGGGCGGCCACTTGGCCGAAACACTGCACAGACCGCGGGGGGGGGAGTCGCAGAGAATAAGAGGGAGCAGGAGGAGGAGGAGGAGGAGGAGGAGGACGAGGAGGAGGAGGAGGAGGAGGAGGAGGAGGAGAGGAAAACGAGCAGGCGACCGCGGCACTGCGAATTCAAAGCGAGGACCCAGCTCCACAGGAGGGCTGGGGAAACACACTAACCAAACCACCCCTCCAGTGATAAGGAAGCATGGGGGGAGATCGATGTAACTTTCAATGTGCGACTGGTTTCGTGCTGGTTTGGCAATATACGCCTTTACTCGACCTCGCCCACCTGCATTTGCCAATAGTTGCTTTTCTAGAACTGTGTTAGCCTTGATGTCTGGTCGAACACGTCAAGGTTTTCTCGCTCGCCGGAGCACATCGTATAAGTCGTGGGCTCTCTCAACGCGGCTACCCCGCCTGGCGCCACCCAAAATACTATACATGTTCGGAAGCGCATCCTACTGGTTCGTTCAAACCTTGTGTCTATACTAAATGTGGTGGCTTTTCAACTGGTCTGACTCGCGCACGTGTTCTGACGTTTCGGAATCCTTGGACTGATCAAACATAGGAAACATTGGTCCCCTGGGAAGCCATCAACGTGTATAGCGCATCTAAAGGTACAACTCATCTAACTCGTCTAAACCCTTTACCTCGTCTGACGACATTGAAGTGTTTAAGTGGTCTAGTCCGTCTGATCCAAACGTCTCGTCTACGTTATCCAACGGTACGAACTGCGACAATACGCAGGCTGTGCGCACACTCATAGGCGCTGGGTGTAGTGCCCTCACATATCTGGAATCATCGGTCCCCAAGCCTTGGTTCTCAATTATGAAGATCCTTCGGGCTCCATTTTCTGAAAAAGCCCCCAGCTTGGAGGGAGGATGGGACTGGCCGGGGCGAGCGAGCGAGGGAGGAATGGGATCGGATCGGCTGTCCACGAAAGAGATGTGAAGCCCCTGCTGCCGGGCGAGCGCCAGGCCTCTGTGGGCCCGACGGTCGCAAAAAGGAGGGAGGAGGCGAGTGAGCGAGGGAGGGGGCGAAGGAAGGAGGGAGGGGGCGAGGGAGGCAGGGGGCGAGCGAGGGAGGGAACGGGGCGAGCAAGGGAGGGAGGGGGTGAGGGGAAGTTCCCCATTGTACCCCCGCTGTAGCCCGCGGCGCCCCAGTCGCGCCGCGCTGCCAGTTCCCCGAATGGAAGGCCCGAGAAATCGGGCTGGCTGACTGGCTGGCTGGAACAATCAACCCGTGTAATGAGGACGCACGAGAAGGATGCAAGGGCCTCGGGGGGGCATGTCGACACTCTGCGAGCGGGACGCGGCCAGCGGAAGCGGCCAAGGATTGGCCGAACTGGAAGGATGCAAGGGCAACCTTGGAAAATCGCTCATCCTTAAAATGCGGGGTCACTGTAGTTCCGCTGCAGCTCGCATTCCTGGCTCATGATCCAGCCCTGACCGACGAGCAGATCCCCAGGATGGCGGGCCTGGGGGAAAGTCCATCACCCCAGCCGACTCAAACGTCAGACCCATGGGGGCCCATCCGGAAGGAAAGAACTCCTGGGGCGCGCCGACGAACACAGGGGTCCGATTTCTACGGAAGAACAAAAAGAATCCCTGGCGAGGGGTTCCAACACGGGGGTAACCCCCGTCTCGGAAGAGGAATGAACTCTCAGCCGCGGGAGTTCTCGCACGCTTGGTTCCACCCCCTGGTGCAATCAGAGGAAAAGCGCGAGAGCCCAAATTGCAAATGCAATGCAACAACACTCTAAGAGTGGTTGTACTAGTACTCGCTGCACGATACTAGCTTGTCCTGTGCAACATACACCCTGGTACCAGGTCGTGCTCGAATGCAAACTCTGATACGAACTGAATTATCGCCTGAACGGGCGCGCGCGGAAGAAAGAAAGAAATCCATGCGCCGCCACAGGTCCAGGGGGTAACAAGTCACCGCGAGGAGGGGGCCCCCGCGGAAGGAAGATAAGACATCTGGCCGGGGGGCTGGTGGGTCCAGTCATGAATCGGAGAGGTGATGAAGGTCAACAACCCCTCCCCCCTACCTTTCTCAATTCTCTCAATTCTCTCCCCCATCCAGTATCCGGCTGGGGGCAGATTTGCCCCAGACTTAGATGTTTATCGAACGCAAAACAAACTCCGAAGTTAGCAGGCAGCATTTCGAGGGCGATCTCTATTCCAGAGCCCAAGAAGAGCGCTTCCAAGAGATGGGGGCGGGGCAAAGAGCAAAAAAGCTCGCCCATATTGTCAGGCGGGTTGTCGTCCCCTGGGGAGCTCTCGGCCCTTGGGTCCCCCGGTGCGCCTCGACCATAAATCGGCCAGGCAATCCCTCCCGACCTCTGCCCCACCATGAGGGGGCGCGGTCCAGCGGATACAATCATCGCGCTACCATGAGGAACGCTGAATAAGGAACGAAGAAGCGTCTCTGGCCACGGCGAGCCTCGGCTACGAGTAGGCTCCCCGACCCAAATCGAAGGAACGGCCCGAAAATCAGAAACCCTCCCGAGCCCGAAGTGGTCCCTATCCCAGCGCCTTGACACAGGTGAAAGGAACAGGCGTGCGCCGAAGAGAGGCAACATGACAGGAGGGAAAGTGATGAGGGAAGGGGGGCGTGTGGGGACGGGGGAGGAGGGGTGATGAGGTGGAGGGGTAGGAGGAGGGCGACGAGGACGAGGAGGAGGAGAAGGGCGATGATGAGGACGAGGACGAGGAGGAGAAGGAGGAGGAGGATGTTGAACCTCATGTCTAAAGCATGATTCTTATTGATCCCCCCTCCGGTGCACATGTGTTTTTTCAATCTAAATGATCATCCTCAGGCTTGCACCCTGTTTTTCTCCCCACCATCCTGTGGTGTCGGGTCCTCGTTTTGAGGAGACAGCGCCCCGCGTCACCCTCCCGCTGCCACCATCCCTCATCCCATCCATGCCTCTGCTCTCCGCGTCAGTCGACAATTTCGGCACACCCCTCACGCGCTTCGTGGTCCCATGGGGAGCTCCACCCGAAGTCCCAGCGCTACCGCCCGCATGCGTTCCCCCTACCCAGTACAGCGCTTCGTGGCCCCATAGGGAGCTCCACCGACGGTCCCAGTGCGACCGCCCGCATGCGCCCCCCTTACCCAATAATTACAACGCTTCGTGACCCCATAGGGAACTTCCCCGACGGCCCCAGTGCTACCGCCCGCATGCGCCTGCCACCCAGTGCAGCGCTTCGTGGCCTCATAGGGAGCTCCACCGAAAGTCCCGGCGCTACCGCCCGCATGCGTCCCCTGCATCCAGTACAGCGCTTCGTGGCCCCATAGGGAGCTCCACCCACTGAAGGTCCCAACGGTACCGCCCGCATGCGCCCCCACCCCCAGTAGTTACAACGCTTCGTGACCCCTCAAGGAGCTCCAGTGCTGAATGGCACGCGAGCAGATAGGAGCGAACAGTCTTATTAAAATGATTGTGGTTGCTGCTGTTGCTGTTGCTGTCAGTGTTGACAGTGTTGTGAATCACACTCAACGCAGGTAAGAGGAGGAGGAGGAGGAGGAGGAGGAGGAGGAGGAGGGCGAGGGAGGGGACGAGGAGGAGGAGGAGGAGGAGGAGGAGGGCGAGGGAGGGGAGTTGCAGGAGGAGGAGGAGGAGGAGGACAGGAGGGGCGCGGCCACTGGGCGGCAGAGGGCGAGCGAGGAGCGGGGAAAGTCCTCCACCTCCTCGACGGTCCACTTGGACATGGAGATGCCCTTGATCTTGAAACCGAACTCACGGAGGATGCCTCCCCGCATCCCAGCCCTGCCCTGGAGCAGAGGCGAGGCATGAGTCTCAGCACCCCGTATCGCACACAGCATGCGATGGGACACCAGACGAGCGTGTCCCCGAAAGTCCACCAGACTTCTTCGGGTGGGTGGCTGACTGACTCAGAGGAAGGAGGAGCAGGGAGATTTCGTCTTCCACTTCCTCTTCCTGAATAATCTCTTCTTCCACTTCGGGCATCGGTTTACCGCTGGTCTCCAATCGAGCGGCCGCCGATGCGGAGCAGCGCTCCCACACCCCCACCAGCCCTGTCAAAAAGCAACGCGGCGTGCATGTTGCGGCACACGCTGGACCGTACACGGGCGCCCCGCCATCACTCTGCATTGCCTTTTCCTGGGAAGACGGGGTGGAAACATCTGGCCAGGGGCGCGCCGGCTCACAATCCCTGCCGAAAGCGACGTAAAGATTCAAGGCGCGCGCAAACGGGATGTCCGACACCCCGCCGTCACTTTGCATTTTGGAGGCAGCCCAGGGGTCTGAACTGATTGGGACTAATCCCTGAAGCCTCAGCCCCCAACCCTGAGGATTCTTTAAGGGGCCCAGACGCCAAGCTCTGAAACCCGCCGACACTGTCGACGTGTGTGAGGGGCCCCTCTGTTCGAGTCGTCGTCTCCGTCATTCGTTAGTCGTCGTCTCTGTCGTCCCCTTTCCCGGCGCCCCCCCTTTCCCTGGGCCCGTCGCCGCTCCCCCCCCTTTCCCTGGGCCCTCCTCCTCAAGCGCTGGGCCCGTCGCCGCTCCCTTGATCCCTGCCCCGCCGGGAGGGGGACAGGGGGGGGGGGCGGGGGCGCTGGCGGGCCTTTGTGTCTGGGGGCGCGGGGGTCAGGAGCAGGGGGGGGCGCGGGGCAGGGGTGCCGGCGGGCCCCCCGTGTCCTGGGGCGCGGGGTTTAGGAGCAGGCGGGGCGCGGGGGCGCTGGCTGGCCTTTGTGTCCTGGGGCGCGGGTTAGGAGCAGGGGGGGAGGGGGCGCGGGGCAGGGGCGCTGGCGGGCCCCCCGTGGTGTGGGGCGCAGGGGCAGCGGCGCTGGCGGCCCCCCCCCCACGTCTTGGGGAGTATAGGCGAGGTGGGGGCAGAGGAGGCCGCACCGAGGGGCCCCCGAGACCCAGAAAAGCCCCAAGATGGGCCAAGAGTGCCCCAAGATGCCGCCAAGACGGTCCAAGAGGGCCCCGAATCGCCGAACGATCTGTCCAAGACGCGTTAACGGCCTCCAGGCAGCCCAAGAGCCCTGCAAGACGCCCCAAGAAGCCTCCAGAAGTACAAGAGGGCCCCAAGAGAAAAAATCAATGAATTTCTTTGGTTCTTGAAGCATTTCGGCGCTATCGCCTCATCCGCTGCCCGACGCTCCAAGACGGCAGTCCCCCCAACTCGCCCCAAGAGGGCTCCAAGCGGGACCCAAAACGGCCCAAGAGGGCCCCAAGACGGCCCAAGACGCCTCCAAGACGGCCCAAGAGGCCCCCAAGACAGCTCCAAAGGGTGCCCAGACGAAGGACCAGAACGGACATTTCGAGCCCTCGGCTCCCAAGAGGCCCCAAGAGCCCCCAAGAGCCAAGAGGCCCCCAGGAAGCCCCGAGAGGCCCCCAAGATGTTCCCAAGAGGTCCCAAGAGGCCCCTAAACTGTTCCCCAGAGGCCCCCGAGAGCGCTTCGAAGAGACCCCAAGAAACATCCATGAGGACTCTGACCCACGTCAGCGTCCGTTGTGGTCGTTCCCCTTTAGGGTCGGCGGCACCGGCCGTGAGGCCTTCGCATTCATTCGGGCCTCCCAGAGTACCCTCTGGGGACCGTCGCGACCCGTCGCGTGCCATCTGGTCTCACCCGACTATTTCCGCATCACTTTTTCGAGGCCAGGAAATCCCCCAAACGGGCGTAGAGGGCCCCAAGATGCCGCCCAGACGGTCCAAGTGGGCCCCGAATCGCTGCACCATCGGTCCAAGATGGCCCCGAGACGGCCCAAAGAGTCTTCGAGGCGCCCCAAAAGAACCGCAAGAGCCTTGCCAACAGGGCCCGAGAGGCCCAAATGATTAATTCCCAACCATCCTGTGGTGTTGGGCGTTGAGGTGTTCCAAATGATTAATTCCCAAATGAAGTTTACGAGGTCGACGGGTACAAGATTATCCTGTCCGGCGAAGACACAAAAGAGCGTACTTGGACAGGCGTTGGATACATCATTTCACCAGCAAGCCGACGAAGAGTCAAAGCATATAAACAAATATCAGGCAGACTGGCTTGGCTAAAAATCAGAACTGGCATGGGGGCGCTGGCCATTATCACCGGATACGCGCCTCACAACCTCAAGCCGCTCCATGAAAGACGCGATTTCTACACAGCGTTGGATTCGACATACCGGTCGTGCAATGCCGCCGCTGGCAAGCTCATCATTGGCGACTTCAACGCCAGAGTGGGGAAAGCTAATCCAGGAGAAGACGCTGTTTTGGGAGAATTTGGATGGGGACGTCGTGCACAGCACGAAGTTGAGCAGCCGAACCGGGACCTGATGATGGAGTTCTGCACGAGTGGTGACCTACAAATTGTAAATATATTTATTTCGCAACCATTGGAAGAAAAAGTCACGTTCATGGAAGCGGGTGCCCTGCCAATGGGGGACATAGCAGAAGACAGCTACAACATTTTGGACTTACTATTATGTGACGCACATTTGCGGCATCAAGTCGTTGCGCTACGAACTCATCGGGAAACGGCCCTGGCTACAGACCATTATTTGGTTGTGGCAGACATGGCTATACAATCTTCCATACAGAAACCGCGGGAAACGGGACGGCCGAACAGAAATGGCATGCAAGACCCACGAGTTTTGCAGGCATATGTGAGCAAGTTTATGGGAACAATTTCATGGTTTCCTGGGCCGCCGGCTGATATTCAAAACATGTGGGAAAGAGGAAAAACAGCAACGCAAACTGCTGCCAGCGCGCTCCCGACGCGCCAGGAGGAGAGCATCAAGCCATGGATTACACAACGCACTCTTGATCTAATTCGCCGCCGTACCGAGGCCCGAGTGGCCAACGACATAACCGAGGAGAGAAGATTGATGAAAGCGGTGCGCAACGCGTGCAAGCAAGATACAACAGTTTGGGTTGATGAGCAAATTTCGACTGGCAGCTGGGACGCTCTGAAAAAGCATTGCCGGCCTAAGCCACGACGCCAAGGGAGGCTAAGAAATATGAGTGGGGAGTTAGTGGAAACACACACAAAGAGCAGAGACAATGGCTGAGTACCTGGAGAAAGTGCAGTGGAAAGTACGGACAGCAGAGCTTCTAGACGTCTCACCTGGAGATCCATTGCCGGTTTCGGAAGCAGACTTTACGAAAGAGGAGGTTGGCAAAGCAATCAAGCAACTCAAACGTGGCAAAGCATCTGGTGTTGACGATATCCCAGCAGAGTACTGGAAGGCTATTGCTACAGACCCAGGCGGACTGGAGTGGATTACAGACCTGTGCAACAAATGTTGGAACGAGGAGGCCGTGCCGGACGATTGGAAGAAATCGATTATCTCAACGATATATAAAAGCAAAGGGGCCGTCGACAACTGCGACAACTACCGCCCTATCAGCCTACTCTGCGTCGCGTGCAAGCTCATAGCTGGTCTTATTCTTCGGCGTCTACAAAACGCAGGGGCAGAGGACAAATTATCGCCAACGCAATTTGGTTTCCGACGAGAGCGCGGGACATCGGATGCTATACACGCTGTTCGCCGGTATATTGATTTGGCTTACGCAGACAAACAAGGAGGTATTGCATTTGTCGCTTTGGATTGGAAGAAAGCTTTCGACTCGTTGAACGTCGAGGCGCTGCTGGAAGCTTTGCACAAATTTGGAGTCCCTCGGCGCGTCCTTACAATTATTGGCCACATCTACGAGGGCAGAAAATTCAGCGTGGCGGATGGACGACACCGGTCATCAGAACGACAGCAATTATCTGGGATATCACAAGGTTGCCCACTTTCGCCGTTCGTATTCATTATGGTAATGACGATGGTACTGCGGAGCGCCACACACCACGGAGACGCGGAAGTACGACGAGCTTTAGCAGACGGGTCCTTGTGTATAGTGTTGTACGCGGATGACACCTTGCTCGTGGGTCGCAATCCACACCATCTACAAAGTCTGTTGGGCGCGATTTCTAAAGCAGGTGCACGAGTTGGCATGGAACTACATTGGGATAAATTTCAATTCATGCCGGTTCGTTGCGACATGTCGCTCTTGACGCCCTCTGGCGAGCAAATCCCAGAAAAAGACACAATGGTCTACCTCGGGGCCACGCTTTCAAACTATGGCCAGCTGCGCGGGGAGTTGGGAAAGAGGTTAGGAGCCGCATGGGGTGAGTTCTGCAGACACAGCCGCGCCTGCAAGCATGCGGCAATCAGTACTACCAGGAAGCTTCAAGTATTTCAAGCGCTGGTGACTAGTAAGGTCATGTATTCGCTGAATTCGACATGGCTCAACAAAGCTGAACGCAGAAGATTGGACGGTTTCCAAGCGAGGTGCCTACGTCGAATCCTGCACATTCCTCACGCATACATTTCAAGAGTATCTAACGAACAAGTGCTCTTGCAAGCAGGCCAACAGCGCTACACAGTGCAACTTCTGAGGCATCAGCTGCTGTGGTATGGGAAAATATGTAGGGCGACAGACTTTGATGTTCTGCGCCGCCTCACCTTCCAACCCGGAAGCGCGCGGCCAGCTACAGACGCATGTGCCCGAGCACGAGGCCGGCCAACAAATGCATGGGCGCAGTGCTTGTACAAAGTTGTCGCACCGCATTCTTCTTCGGACGAGGCAATAATGCAGCGCGTATGTGAGCCAGCAGCCTGGCGCAGATTTGTGATTGATGTTGCGTGTCTCCCTCCTCCTCCTCCTCCTCCTCCTCCTCCTCCTCCTCCTCCTCCTCCTCCTCCTCCCCCTCTCCCCCCTTGTCCTCAAGCAGCGCACGGTGTGAATTAAGAGGCAGCCGACGTGCAGCCGCCCCCGCAAAGCGGTGAGCCTTGGCTGGCATGGTCCTCTTTTGCCCACGCGCTCCAGCGTATGGCATTTCGTTCGATCCTGTGGTGTTGGGCCCTCGTTTTACAACGCCCCGCGTCTCTATCCTTCCCTCCCGCTGTCCTCCCCCTGCTCCCATTCGTGCCTCTGCACTTCGCATGTCACTTTCGGCACACCCTCCACACGCTACGTGACCCCATAGGGGGCTCAACATAAGGCCCCAGTGGCAGTGTCCGCATGCAGCTCCACCCCCCATCTCGGCGCACCCCTCACACATATCGTCGAAGGCGCGGACGGCAGTGTCCGCACATAGTTCCACCCCCCATCTCGGCGCACCCCTCACACGTATCGTGGCCCAGAAGGAGAGTTCCACCGAAGGTCTCAGTGGCAGTGTCCGCATGCAGTTCCACCTCCCATCTCGGCGCACCATTCATACGCTTCGTGGCCCCATAGGGGAGTTCCACCTAAGGCCCCAGTGGCAATGTTCGCATGCAGTTCCATCCCTCATCTCGGCGCACCCCTCACACATATCGTGGCCAAAAAGGGAGGTCCACCTAAGGCCCTGATGGCAGTGTCCGCATATACTTCTATTCCCCATCTCGGCGCACCCCTCACACGTTCGGGGCCCTGTAGGGAGGTCCACCTAAGGTCTCAGCGGCAGTGTCCGCATGCAGTTCCACCTGCCATCTCGGCGCACTATTCATACGCTTCGCTGCCCCATGGGGAGCTCCATCTAAGCCCCTGATGGCAGTGTCCGCATGCAGTTCCACCCCCCATCTCGACACACCCCTCACGCGTATCGTGGCCCCATACGGGGCTCCACCTAAGGCCTCAGCGGCTGCGTTCGCATGCAATTTCACCTCCCATCTCGGCGCACCCTTCATACGCTTCGTGGCCCCATAGGGGAGTTCCACTCAAGGCCCCATCGGCTGCTTCCACATGCGGATCCAACCCCCATTTCGGCGCACACTTCACATGCTTCGTGGCCCTATAGGGAGTTCCACGAAAGGCCACAGTGACTGCGTTCGCACGCAGTTACGCCCTCCATTTAGGCGCACCCTCACACGTTTCGCGGCCCCATGGGGAGCTCCAAATAAGGCCCCAGTGGCAAAGTCCACATGCGGTTCCACCGCGCATTTCGGCGCACCCTCACAAGTTTCGTGGGCCCATGGGGAGCTCCACCTCAGACCGCAGTGGCAAGGTCCGCATGCGGTACCACCCCCCATCTCGGCGCACACTTCACACGCTTCGTGGCCACATGGGGAGCTCGACCTCAAGCCTCAGTGGCTGCGTCTGCATGCGGTTTCACCGCGCATTCTGGCGCACCCTCACGAGTTTCGTGGCTCCATGGGGAGCTCCAAGCAAGGCCCTAGTGGCAAAATCCACATGCGGCACCTCGCCCATTCCGGCACACCCCTCGCATGCTTCGTTGCCTCACAGGGAGCGTCCCCTCCTTCGTCCCACCTGCCTTGCGGTACTGTGAATCGCGTCCTGCGCCCATCTATATGTATACACATATATATATATATATATATATATATACATGTATACTAGAACCATCGCGCGCGCTTCGCGCGCGCTCAAGTTCTAGCCAGGCTTGATAGGCTAACTCGTGTCATCTCATGTTGGTCGCTTCTTGCGTCCAGGGACTCCCTGGGAGGCCCTGCGCAAGCCTCGGAATTACATAGAAGGGGAAACTTGGAAACGCAGAAATCATCAACTTCCGTTAGGTATTCAACGATTTGGGGCCCTCAAAGGCTTCCTGGGTTCTTTTTGGGGAGGTGAGGGGGGTCTGAATTGTGGTCTGTTGTGCAAGAGAAGACCGGGGACCAAACTTGAAAAAAATGGCAGGAATTGCGGGATTTCCATGTTTCTCCAGTTCCAGGGGCCAAGACGGCCCACGAGGGGGCCGCCTTGGACCCCTCGTGGGCCGTCTTGGAGCCCTCTTGGGGGCCTCCTCCTCCTTCTCCTCCTCCTCCTCCTCCTCCTCCTCCTCTTCCTCGCCACCACCATAGATTACAGTCAAATACCATGGCAAGGACGCCGCTGAGCATCGTTTAACCGACCCCATATCTCCCCAGGCCCTACTGGCCAATGTATCCCCCTGGATGGGGGTGCAGGCTGGTTCCTTCGGGTTTCGAGGGGCATACCCCCAACTGGGGTGCTGAGATGGTGGGGGTCTGGGTAGGAATGGGAATGGGGATACGGGTCGGCTAAACGAGACTGAACAGCAAGCGAGACGGGCTCGTCACCCAATCCAGCGTTGCATCAACCACTCCCCACTCCTCTGGCAGAAGAAACAACGGCGCAAACATACAAATGTTGGAACTTCGCGCGGATTTCTTAAATCCGCGCCATGCTCCCTCTCTGGAGCGTGGAGCGCGCCAGCCGCGGAGCCAGAGGCGCCGCCAGGGGGCTCCGACGCAGATCCAAGAAATCCGCGCGGAGCTCCGAAAAATTATGTCGGTGCCCCAACCATCGCTCGGACGTCCATTCCTCTTGCACTTTCTGTTTTCGTGCGTTTCTTCCTCCAGGTGATCCAAGATGCCCCTCGACGATCCTCGCTAAGAGAAGGCGCACGTCCGAGCGATGTCAAGGCAGGGGTTTCTTCTTCGATCTCCCCAGCCCGGCCTGCCGCCGTCGTGGATACGAAAGTGCCGTGCGTGACGTTGACGTACGTGGGGCCAACCTGCGGCAATACCCCTCGGCAGGTCCGTGTCGTGTCGATCGGCGGCGACATCCGGACCCTGCCCTCGCCGATCAACGATTCAAGCAACTCGATGTGCGGCGGGGGTAGATTCCAGAATTCGTCGAACACGCGGCGAAATCCGAACCCTACCCTCGCCGATCAACGACTCGGGCAACTCGACGTGCAGCGATGGCAGATTTCGGAATTCGTCGAACTCGCGGCCAAACCCGAACCCTACCCCCAGATCCCATCGATTCAGGAGAATCGATGGTCGGTGGGGGTAGGGTTCGGATGTCGCCGCCTAGTCGACCCCAACATTGATTCCTGACACTGTGCGGATCGTTCGACCTTGAGCGATCGGCCGTTTCCGAAACGTCAGATCGTTCATCATCGACCGATCCTGGGCCGCTGGCGGCATTCAACATTGAACGCAAGCGGCGGGGTCGCCGCTGGTCGACACGACATGAACTTGCCGTGACCAGGCGCTCCTCATCGTCCAATTTTCGGGTCATGACTCAAGTCTCCGATGGCCGTTCGGGCCGTTCCCGGCAGCCCCGGAAAGCCCTCGGTCGGCGAGGCGCGGCTCCTGGAAGGCATCCCGAGGCAGGAAAACCGCCGGGTCGCGACCGAACACGCGCGACAACCTCGAACCTCGAAGGGTCGAGTCGACGCGACCCTGCTGCACCTGCGCTCCGCAAACTAAACGCTCGCCAGCCCGCGAGGCGCGCGCTTCCGGTCCGCTCCTCCGAGGGCGCTCACGGCTCAACAACGCTGGGCCGCGCGGCCTCTCCTACCGTCCCGCCGCCTTTCCCCTCGCCCCTCCCCTCCCTCCCCTTTGAAGACGCAGAGGGACATACCAGTACTGTGCGCCCTCCTCGGAGGTGTCCGTCCGAACCAAACATGTAGTACAGGCATAGTGTAGCATATCTTTTCCCGAGCGGTATGGCCAGAATGCGGCCACTATTCCCTACCTAGGCTCTGCCTAAAAGGGTTCTTACTCTCTGGGCTTAAAGGGGCCAGGCAGTGGAAAGCGCCCCGGGCGGTTCCCCTAGTATCCGCCCCGCGGTTCCCCGTCCCCTGGGAGCTTTAGCTTTAGCTTTAGCTTAGCTTTAACTTAGCTTTAGCTTAGTTTTAGCTTAGCGTTAGCTTATATTTAGCTTAGCTTTAGCTTAGCTTCAGCTTAGCTTCAGCTTAGCTTCAGTTTAGCTTCAGCTTAATGTTAGCTTAGCTTTAGCTTAGCTTTAGCTGAGTTTTAGCTTAGCTTTAGCTTAGTTTTAGCTTAGCTTTAGCTTAGCTTTAGCTTAGCTTAGCTTTAGCTTAGTTTTACTGTTACTACTAATGCTGCTTTCCTAGGGGCTCCAACTCCTAGGTAGGGTCGCACTGGGATAATTGAGCCTGTGCTAAAAGATTTCTCGGCGCGCGCGTCGCCCCGGGGAGGGGGGGGGGGGGGCGACGCACACGTAGTGTGAGTTTGTAGGGGTGACGCAGATCTTCCCCTCCAGCGATCCGCAAGCCCGTACCCCCCCCCCCCCACTTCCCTTTAGAGGAACCCCAAAACGGCATACACATAATTTTGAAGGTCCGCGCGGAGCTCCAATTAATATGTTTATGCAATGTTCTGTCCTTCGACGACAGCAGGGCCGAAAACCGACTGAACCGACGGCGAAACCAAAACCTACCGAAACCGACAGGCCGCAAGCAGGCCAGAAGGGCGCAGCGACGCGGAAACGACACAATTGACCGAAAACGAACAGAACCGACGGAACACAACCGACTGCGACGCAGCCGAACTGACCGAACCGCAAACACCCTTGGCACCCTGCCTCCCCCAAACCGCTTCTTGTGCGAGGCGGGTTTTTTTCCATATCCACTGCCTGGGGAACTGACGTCTGGGACCTGAGTGGGCGGTGGATATGGATATATTTTGAGCCCAGGCGGCCCCGCGCGAATTTCTTGGATCGGCTAGGTGCCAGGGCCGATCCAAGAAATCCGCGCGGAGCTCCAGAAATTTGTGTCTATGCAGTTTTGTCTTCATCGACCCAGGCCTCCGAACGAATCCAAAGCCCTCCAAGAGACTCTCATAAGGGAACAAACGATTACATGAACATAACAACTCGGAGGTCCGCGCGGATTTCTCGGATACCCCCTTCTAGAGGTGCCGCCGGGAGGCTCGAGCGCCGATCCGAGAAATCTGCGCAGACCTCACAGTTCTTATTGTATGTTTCCCCAGCTGAGGCCTCCGAGAGAATCCAGAGCCCTCCAAGGGACTCTCAGACGAGCCAGGAAAAGCCCGACAAATCGCCCCCAAGATGGCCCACGGGCTCACGGCAGTCCGTCAAAGACGGACCCCAAATACGACCACAAGACGGCGCAAAACCACGCCAAAGGTGGTCCCGAGAATCCTCCTCCTCCTCCTCGTCCTCCTCCTCCTCATCAAGCGGCCCCAATACTGTCTCAAACTAAGGGAACAAGCAATGCCATAAACATGAATGCTCGGACTGGCGCTGGGGCCCACTGGCGGCGCCTCTGGCGCCGCCCCTGGCGCGCTCCGCGCGCCAAGGAAGGGGGTCCGGCGCCGATCCGAGAGATCCGCGCGGACCTCCGAGTTGTTATGCTTATGTCGTAATTTGTTCCCCGAAATATCTGAAACGACGCAAAGACCTTTGACAGGACGCCAAGATGGACCCCCAAAGCCCCAGCAGGGCCTCAAACTCCTACATGGCCCTGCGAGGGCTCCAAGACAGGCCCGAATGTTCGATCACACACGTGTCCAAAGCTGTGCACGACGACAGCAACATCGAAACCCGACCGAACTGACACCGAAACCGAAACCGATCGAAATCGACGGGCCGAAAGCAGCCTAGAGGGTGCAAACCGAACCAAACCGACCGAACGCAACCGACTGCGACGCACCCGACCTAACCGAACCGTGAACGCGCTTGGTGTCCAAGTGATTCCCCCTAACACCCACTGATTGAAAAAATTGCGCGCTGGCCGCCCTGTCTCCCGCGTTGCGGGTTCGGTACGGTCATGGCGCACTGCCAGAAAGAACGCCAAATAAGGAACGATGACAGCGTTCCTGGCCACCGCGGGCCTCGGCCACGAACAGGTCGCCCGACCTAGGGTCACGGAGCGGCCCGACACCAGAGCCCCTCCTGAGCCCAGAGTCGCCTTGACTGCAAGACCCACTGACTGGGAAACTTGCGCGCTGTTCCCCCCCCCTCCCCCCCCGCCCTGTCTCCCGCGTTGCGGGCTCGGTGCAAATATGTTCCCCCCGGCCGCTGGGCAATGCCAGTGTTAGGGCAAAGAAATTGGCCATTCGAGGCTCATGCCCTGACCACCCCTCGTACCCGTTACCCGTCAATCGGAAAACATAAGTGGAAGCATTAAGTCGGAAGGCGACTGAAGTAGGTGAGATTCGAGCCCGCCCCAAAAAGCACGAACATCAACAGAACATGCCGATCCTTGAAGTGGGAAGGCACCTGAAGTATATTGGGACCCGATGGGTCCTCCTACCCGCGTTGTGGCTTCGGTATCTGCCCCCCCCCCCCCCTCCCTGCCGCGGGGCAGTGTCGAAGTGGGGCAGGGAAATTGCCCACTCGACGCTCCTGCTCCCGCCGCCCCATCGCACCCGTTCCCCCTGCTGTTGTGATATTAGTGTTCCTCCTCCTCATCCTCTTCCTCTTCCTCCTCCTCCTCCTCCCTACCAGGCGATCTACGGGAGGGGGAAGAGGGGGATTCGATTCGAGGGGAAGGGAAGGCCTCCGAATGTAAGGCCCGAGAAATCGAGCTGGCTGGCTGGCAGTTGCGCTGCAGCTCGACTTCCCCTCATGACAGACGCAGCCATCCCCTCCTCGCCCTCGCCCTCGCCCTCGCCCTCGCCCTCGCCCTCGCCCTCGCCCTCGCCCTCGCCCTCGCCCTCCTCCTCCTCCTCCTCCTCCTCCTCCTCCTCCTCCTCCTCCTCATAACCCCTTTGTCCTGCTTCCGCGTCCTCATCATCGGCCCCGAGCAATGTCTTGGGCATGAAGACGAAGTCGATATGCGAGGCATCCTGGCTGCCGAAAAAGGTGGGGCCGTGCCCGATGCAGGCGTTGACTGCCACTAGGCCGAGCTCCCCCATCAGCGGGAGGACGCAGTCCGCAGCGTAGCGCTGCTTGTCCTGGGCCGAAGGGCCGCCGAAAACGTCGGACCGCGTGGGGCGCCAAGTGATGTCGCCGTCCAGCTGGTGGTAGCCAAAACCCCGAATTCAGGTCGACGCAGAAGATGGGCAGCACCCGCTTGGTGCTCAAGTAGGACAAGGAGCGGAGTCATGTCGTGAGGGCGTCGCACGTGCGGCGGTAGACGCCGGCACTGCCCTTCACTGGCGGCGGCGGGTAGTAGACGGAGCAGACCCCAATGTCGCAAGCCGCGCATCGAGCACGCAATGCGAATTCGAGTCCCGCGAACGAGGCTGTGGGCGTCCAAGTGTGGGTCACGGAAGACTTCCTGACTTTGGCCCCAATGATGTTATTGCAGCCTGTGCTTTTGTTTGTGTACGGTCCTCGGGCCCACCTGCTCTCAAGACTCCAATTGTGATCTCCAGCCTTACGCCAGCGTGCTTCCCATGCCTTCTCTTTGCCGAACCCCTTGGCTGTAGTGCCGTTCGAGCAAACGACAAAAATACGCCTTGCATGCCTGTGCAATCGAAGTGAGTCGCTCTCCGCTGGAAGCGTGCAACGGGTTGTACTGGAGCACAAGCAGGCGTCGCCCAGCCATCTCGCAGACCAGCAGGAGCCAGCAGCCCACACAGAAATATTTAGAGGCCATTTTTATAACAATAAGACGTGGAAGGGGATGTCTCAGAGCGGAGGCATGTAGAATGTGGGGAGCTGGGCGCCTGTCCGCGGAAGAAAAAAAGGACTCCTTGGCGAAGGGTTCGGGCACGGGGGTTGCCCCTGCCTAGAATTCCGGGAGAGGAGTGGAGTCTCAGTCGCGGGGGTGCTGGCGTGCGCCCCCCCCCCAAGCGCAACCAGGGGAAGAAAAGTGCGAGAGCCCAGATTGTAAACGTAATGCAGCATCACTCTTATAGTAGCTGCACTCGCGAATTATACTAGTATTACATGCATGCCACTGTGTGTCCTATTTCCGAAATCGACATGATATACTGTCTTCATATTCCTTAACCGCTGCCCCCGTACTCCCAAGTCGTGATCCTATAGTGATTCCTACTCCTAAGCCAAAAGTCAATACTGCTTCCTCGAATGCCTCGACTGCAATTCGATAAGACTAGTTGTGCTGCAGGACCAGGTGCACTCCAGGAGCAGCTGCACGCTAGCACAAGGTGGTACCAGTTGTGCTCACTCTAGCCAGAAGGGTTAAAAAATTCAGGTGGCAACGTGCCCGCGGAAGAAAAAACAAAATCTATGCGCCGCCAGAGGTCCTGGTTCCATCGGGTCGCCGCGAAAATGGACCCCACGCGGAAGGAAGAAAAGAAATCTGGCCGGGGGGAAGGATTCACGCGTGAGTCGCGGGGGCGATAGAGGAGGAGGAGGAGGAGGAGGAAGAGGAGGAGGAGGAGGAGGAGGAGGAGGAAGACTTCCCCATCCTCCCTTCTCCCCCGTCCTACCTATGGTAGGGGTGATGCAACATTGGCCCATCAGATGGAGCATGAGCCTGCGGGCTCACAGGTCACCGTTGCCAGCCGGCCCTCTATCAGAAGAAACTTTTCATCGCTCAAACGTCTAATATTCGTGCATGCTTTGGCTTTGTGCGCTTGGTCTTTCCGCAAGATGATCCAAGATGATCCTCGAGGGCCCTCGCCAAGAACAACACACGTCCGAGCGATGCGAAGGAACGGGATCAAGAACATCGGATCGGCAGAAGATGGGAGCGCGAGCCACAGAGGCGTGGCCTGAACAAGCCCGCCAAGAATTTGCATCGCACCTCGTGAGCCTGCAGTCAGCCGGCGGCGCGCCCTGGGGGGAAATGAGAAGGAAGGCCGTTCCGGATTCGAGGTTTTCGTATGTCTTCGTGGTTTCTTGGCGGCTTTCCACCCTCGGGATGCGCTCCAGCAGCTGAGCCTCGCCGAGAGCGTTCGGATGGTGCCTGGATCGTCCCCAACGGTCACCAGAGACCCGAGTTATGACCCATAAAGCACATTCGGCGGCGCGCCCGGGGGCGAAGTGAGAACGAGAAGGCCTTCTCAGAAGGCGGCGGGGCTTCTCAAAAGCCCTCGCGCCTTCTTCTGAGCGGTTTCCGGTGTCTTCGGGGAGGGTTGGAAACTTCTCAAAGGCCCGAGGACGTGCCGCCGAATCAGAGAATTAGCAATCGGTGAGGGCAGAGAACCTCGCCGCAGTCTGCACATTTCTTGTTCGCCTTATCGTTCTTCTGAAAGTTCTTAATGCGGTCCAGAAGGGCCTTCTCCGAATTCTTCTTCATGATGCCTCGGTCGCCTGCGATAGTGGCCGCAAGACGAGGAGAGACTGGATGCACAACACTTGAGCGAGGCAAGCCAATCAAGATCACCTGAACCTGTCTGCCCATGCCCTGCATTGACACTGATGAAAACAATAGCAGCAAAACAATCACGGTTCGAGTCACGGAAGATTGCGGTCCTCTGATCCAACTGCAACATTGGCGTCGCCTTGCCACCGCGAGTGCCAACATGCCTGAGCCACACACCCGGCCTCTGCCAGGCGAGGCGCTCCCAGGCTGGAATGCGTGAGCGCTGCAGCGTGGACTTGCTCTGCACACGAAGGGGGGCAGTCTCTCGCACGAACCCCGTTCCCCCTGCGAAGCTTCCCCATGCCCCAGGGCCGTCGCTCGACCAGGACCTGCTTTGCACGCGAAGGGGGGCAGTCTCTCGCACGAGCCCCGTTTTCCCCCTGCGAAGCCTCCCCGTGCCCGGGGCCGTCGCTCGACCAAAGTCACCTTCGAACCTGCCCCCGAACGGACCTTCCGAGACCCCTTTGGCCAAGAATGGGTCCACGGACAAAACAGCCGGCTGGCACCGCGGGTCCTAATCGCGAGGCGCGTGCAAATTCGCGACAAGGTGGGCGCCCGATAACCAATCGGGTTGCCGAAAGAAGGAACGGTGAGTAAACAACAGAAACCATGTTCTTCCAAGTGGAGCGGTGAAATTCGAAGGAACGGCCGTACAATCCGAAGGCGGCCCGAAGGGGCTCGCCACCAAAGAAGCATCAGAACGCAAGCAAACCTAAGGAACCACCGAGCCCCTTGCGACCTCGAGCTGCACCTTGCAACCAACGCGTACCGTAAGGATGTGC